GATCTTAACATAGTGACATCACCGGTGGTGGCATGCTGCTATCATGCACCTCTTGATTTGGTGTGGAAAGAAAGTACACGTCACTTCTGTGGTATTCTTTCCAAAATCCTATAACCCCAGGCCGATCATGAAAGAAACACCAGACAAAGCCATACACTACAAGATGACTGGTTAATATTCAAGAGTATCATGTGTATGAAAAATAGAAAAGATTATATGGTAGATTCATTTTTAGTTTTTTAAGAGTTCTCCACATTGTTTTCCATAGAGGCTGTACAAGTTTGCAATCCCACCAGCAGTGAACGAGTGTTCCCCTTTCTCCACATCCTTGCCAGCATTTGGTATCATTTGTTCTCTTGATCCTAGCCAGTCTGATTGGGGTAAGGTGATACCTTAGGGTGGTTTTAAGAACTCTTAAAAAACTAAAAATGAACCTACCACATGACCTGGTTATACCACTCCTTGGCATATACCCAAAGGACTCATCCTATTGTAGAGACAATTGTACAACCATGTTTGCTACTGCTTTTCACAATAGCTAAGAGATGGAAGCAACCTAAGTGTCCCTCAACTGACAAGTGGTTAACAAAAATGTGATATATTTACACAATGGAGTTTTATTCAGCTGCAAAGAAAGATGAAATAATGAAATTTGCAGACAAATGGATGATCTAGAAACTGTTATACTAAGTGAAGTAACAGACTCAGAAAAACAAATGACGTATGTTCTCCCTCATATGTGGCTCCTAGCACCAAATCCTTTTAAATTCCAGGTCCTTTTAATAAGACGATGCTATACAGCAGTCCCTTCTGCATGAAATAACTACCATCATGATTTCAGCTGAGCCTGATAGCTAAACATAGTCACAATTGGGCTTGTTGACGGTTATGTTCATTCATTAAGAGTGCCAAGCAGGGTCACTGGACCCTCACCTGAATATCCAGCCACTCTTCTCAGCCAACTAGTCCAGTCTTGGAAGACAAAAGAAAAATGAGGAAGAACCCAATAGAGGGATGCTTTTGGAAGCTCTTGTCAAGAAACTCCAATGGACTCTCACATGAACATTTGAAAATTGCCCTGTTGACTTTCTTCTAGTTCCCTGTCTAGAACTTGTAATACTAATTACTCTTGCCTTTACTTCTCCGTCACATCTCCCATTCATGATTCAAGGACTTTCTTCTCCCATTAGAGACGAGAGTTATGTAATTTGGGAGTCTTTTAGGCAGACCCACTGAAGTGGTACTCCAATTACCTCACCCTGCATCCCTGTTCAGCATGGAAGAAGACAGAGTGGTTGGTGACCCTATTCTCTATTGGCAATTTGGGTAACCCCTTTGGAGGATGGCATGATAAGAATAGGAGGTAGGAATGGGCTAGGCAGTTTGGGTAAAAAGACCCCAAAGAAATTTAGCCAGTTTCTTGGTTAAAAGTCAAAATGTCCTTGGTCCTCTTAGCAACATACTCTGTTCCAAAGGCCAAAAATGTCAAAAGTATTTGGGAGCTTGTATCTAATCCTTAAGATTTTAGGGTTACTTCTTCAGAGGGGGGAAATGTTGGGAGGGAGGGAATGGGCATGGATTTGATCAAAACACCTTATATGCAAATATGAAATTCTCAATAAACTTTATGTAAAAATTAAAAAAGAAAAACAGAAAAGACAAAAACCTGTCTCCTAGGGCTGCAGGAGAATTAAATGACAGATGGTCATTATTAAGTAATAAGCTTCTGGATCCCCTGGGAGCTGAAGTTACAGATGGTTGTTAGCTGCAATGTGGGTGCTGGGATTTGAACCCAGGTCTTCTGCAAGAGCAGCCAGTGCTTTTAACCACTGATCCATCTCTCCAGTCCCAGTAAATAGAATTTTAAAAATAAGAACATCGTACTCTCTCGAGAGCTTAGGTAGCGCTGGTGCAATGGCTTGGAAGTGCACGCTGTGCAAGCCTGATGACCTGAGTTCTAAAGTTGATGGCTCACATGTGTAATCCCAGCACTCCTATGGTGAAATGGGAGTCGGAGACAGGAGAATCCCGCAGAAGCTCCTAAGTCAGCTAGCCTGGGGTACGCAAAGCAGAAACAAGAGACCTGCCTAAACAGGGTGCAAAGAGAACCAATTCTAGAAAGTTCTCCTCTGCCCTCTACATGTGTTCCTGCACTCACACATACCTACAGTAAATCAAGACATTAGGCAACTTGGCTAAAGCCAGGATCACTTGGACATTAGTATTTTTAACCTAAACTCTCCTGCTTTTCAAAACATATCACAACTCTTCCCTAGAGATAAACAAAGATAGAATACAGGCACACCAGTAAAACAAGACCCAGAAACTATTATCCTACATTAATTCCATACAGATACAAATAACAAAGCATTTCAAGCAGCTAGGCTTATGCAAATTCTCTTACTTACTTGTCTTGTTCTCCCCAAGTGATTTCTCAGGAGGGAAATTACTTTGATCAAGTTTAAATTTCTTGGAAGAAATGACTGCACCTGAGGAATCCTGAAAGTAATGAACAAGTTTTTTTCTTTTTTTTTTTTAAGTAAAGGAAACCTAGAATTCGTAGTTTTTTACTCAATTCATGAATCCTAACATGTTTCATGTGTTATACTTCATACTGTGATTTAGATCATCAGTTTTCATTCTATTTTTAGGACTATTTCCTTTGCATTCATTGAATATGGACAATCTCTTTGTTGTTTTTTGAGGCTATGTAGACCAGACTGGCCTCAATCTCAGAGATACGCCTGCTTCTGCCTTCTGAGTGCTGGGATTAAAGGTGTGCAGTACCATGCCCCATAGATAATCTTTTAAAAGGCATATTATAAATTGTCAACCATAAAGACAGCAGAATGATGGACCATTCTCTTCATAATAATGTAAATAATCTAAAAAGTTAATGAAAATGGAAAAAGAAAAGCTTTCCTATAAACCACCAAGCTAAAAAAATTTCATCATGAACTTTAAAACAAGCAGCCAGGGCTCAGTCAGTAAAGTACTTGCTATGCAAAGTGGGTCTAAGGACCTGAGTTTGATCTCTCCATTTAAATGAAAAAGCTAGGCATGGTGGCACATCCTTATAACCCAGTGTTGGGGAGGTGGCATTAGAAACCCTAGGGCTTGCTGTCCAGCCAGGCTGTTGGATCTGTGAGCTCTAGGCCAAAGAAGAGACTGTCTCAAAAGGAAAAAAAACCCACCAACAAAAGGCCAAGGTAAATGGCACCCAAGGAACAACACTTGCAGTTGACCTCTCATCTCTGTACATATGCATACATGAGCATCGACATCTACACCCTCACAAAGCAACACTCTGGACTCAATGGAGGGGAGTTTCTCCCACAAAAGTTCCTCCTACTTTTAGAAGTAGCAAAGAAGTAGGAAAATCTAAGTAGAAAAAAAAATCTTGACAATTTTTTTTTATTAACTACTAACTTGGTGAGGGCTAGGGAATTAATGTAATTTTGGGGAAAAAAGAAAAAAATACGACTTAATTCCTGCTCAAGATCATGTCTGTCAGCTTGCCATTTCTGTGGGGAAAAGGGATCCTTCTATCTTTTCAGATTCATTCTTAGCTAACAGAGATGAGTACTAGCAATGGGCATTTAAAATGTTAAGAGACAGTAGAGCCTGGATCTACAAATTTAGGATGCAACATCAGTTTCTCACACTACAAACTACACAGAGCTGAGTATCTACCTCCTTAAAGTGAAAATAAGAAAACAGTGTTGCAGAGACTTTATCTATTTACTACACACAGGCTACATATTATTAGATTGACTAGAATAACAATTGGGAGATGGGTAGCAAAACTGCATTTCATTTTATTTTGTTGGACTGAGAATTACTTTTAGGTTGAGATGAATCCTAAAATTTTCTACAAGACTGGGTTTTTTTGTATAAAAAGAATATAAAGAATTAGTAGTATTAAACTGCCATAGCTTAGTCAGCAAGAACATGTCTCAGTACATCTGATAAACTCAAATGTCTACAAGGGTAACAGGTAAATGAACTCAAAATTAGACAAATCCAGCTGGGCGTGGTTGTTCAGGTCTGTAATTACAGCTACTCAGACATCCAAAGCTGGAGGATCACCTGGTCAAGGGCTTCCTGAGCTACAGAAAGGGTTCACTCTGGGGGAGGCAGAGGCAGGCGGATCTCTGTAAGTTCCAGGACAGCTTGGGCTACAGGGAGACCCTGTCTCAAAAAGACCAAAAAAAAAAAACTAAGAGTCAGGCGTGGTAGTCCCAGAACTTGGGAGGCAGAGGCAAGTGGATCTGAGTTCAAGGCCAGCCTGGTCTACAGTGTTCCAGGCCAGCTGGGGCTACAGGTCAAAAAGACCAAAGAAATATAATAAAAAAGTGGTAGAGTGCTTTCCTAGCATTATAGAGTTCTAGGTTCAATCCTAGTGCTACAAAAAACAAACCCAAACCCCCAAACCTTGAAACTGAACTAATCTAAATACATACACATACACTGACTTCGTGAAAGGCAGCAGAATACTTGTCAAGCAGAATGTAAAAAGTCCGACAGCCTGAAAAACTACTGCCAAGGAGGCTCAGGTTTGCTGTACTTTGAAATTTTTGAGACACGAAGTATCTTCTTGCACTTTAAAATTATGCGGGCTAGATTCGATCAACTAATTACCAATTCATTCCCTCTGCCAGTTCTGCAATTTGAAGACTCCAAGAGTGTACTAAATAGGGTTGAACATGAGGGGCAGAAAGGACAATGAGATACAAGCTTTGCGGGAAACAGCTGAGCCTCACTCGGGCTGTAGTTACCAGGTCTGCGGCTGCAAGGACTATGATGAGAAAAGATGCAACGCCAGACACACAAGGTCTGAAAGGGCAGATATCCCTCCTGAAGCCTGCTGCCTCAACTGCTTTTGCCCCTAGCTATCCGGAAAAAAAAAACATTACGTTTATCTGCTTGAGATGACAGACAAGATGTCAATGATAAATAAAGATTTCAAGTATTTCTGACAAAAAAAGTGGTAACATTTATTAGGCTGGTTTTAGTGATGAGCAGATTTTGAATGTATGTGGCTCACACCACTTTTCAATCAGCACCAATCCCAGTCTAGCTCTGTTGAGCAAAACTGAGAAACAAAGACTGCCAACTGCGAAAACAGTTAAAGAGAACTCTAATTAACTGTACATCTCTAGGTACAGGGACTATTGTTCTTTACATATATCTTGTATACTAAAATTTCCAGAATCACTATATTAAATGAGCTAAAACAAACAAAAATGCTTATATTCCAGAAAATACTATCTAAAGCCAAAAGAACTCTCATTTTTCAACCTGCCTTCGAATACTTTATATTTTCTGGTATTATGAAGGCAGCCCTCTAAACTGTAAAGAAAATCAAATTTTATTATGTTATATATATTATTTGAAGTTTTATTAAGTAGCCAGCTGTTAACTGGCACATCTCGCTTTCTTTACCTTTATTAATTTTTCTTCATTTTTACTTCTTACATCCAGCAATTCAGTATTTAATTTCTCTTCTAGTAACAAGCACTTTGGCACTTGCTTCTCCACCACAGATTTTCTTTCCCATATGACCTCTGGATCAGATGCATCTTCAGTCACCTCAGATTTATTTTTCTGTAAGACTTCCAGTAGTGGCTTACCTTCCAAAGGTGGTTTTTTAAGAGAGATTTTCTTTCTACTAACAAAAAATGCTGCTCCACCCTGGAGTGTAACTTGTGGTTTGATTTTCTGGCTTAAAACCCTAGGAATATTTGGATTATTTTCTGGTGGGTAACAGCTATTCTCTTTCTCTAAGACTGGCTTATAGATCATTTGATTTGACTTGGAAGTTTTAGAACTTCTTGATATGGACTTGATGTGCTTATAATTTGGTAGACATTTAGCAGTTAAACTCTTCTGTGGTTTTTTGTTCCTCTTTTTGGTACGGCCTGGCTTTCTCTGCATTTTTTGTGTCAAACCAGGAAAAGATTTATCTTCATTATCAGTTGTTAGACAAGTGGGTCGGCTCTCTCTTACCAGTTTCCTCTCTAGTGGATTGAGGTACCATTTATCCTTATTGTAAAAAGATCCAGTAGACAAAGCAGATTTAAAGGGTGAGCTATGATTTGCAAACAGCAAGCATTTTTTAGTTGTTTGGCATGGACTGGAAGGGAAAAGGCCTTGTTGAGAGCAGGACTTTTCTTCCTTGTCACTGCTGTGGTAAGGCTGTTTCTTATTAGGTGATGGAAATAGACTTTCAGTAAAGTTCAAAATTAGTTTCTTTGATGAAATGTTTGATAATATGCTATAGAGAGAAAAGAAAGTCCATAAGTTCATTTCTCTTCAGAATTTATTTAGTAGATCTACTAATATACTTCCCCCTATCAATCATACCAAAATAGCATCCCTCTTCATCAAACACATAATTCACATTATCTGTTACTTTAACAAGAGAATTCTCAAATTCTATTTTCATTAAATAGAACTGTCTCATTATATATTCAAATATATTTCCAAAGGAAGATAACAATAACATTTATAAAAAAGAACAGTGTTTACAAAGAAGCTTTGATATACATATATGTGTAGTTCAAAGCCTATGCCCAGGCCATATACAAATTATCTTCCACTTGGCTGGGATCTTGCCTTTCAGATCAGCTAGGGCTACAAAGTGAGATCCTGTCTCAAAACAACAAAATTATCTTCCAAATATTTTCCCCAAATACATTTACAGAACCCCAGCAGATGGTGAGAATTTCAGATAGTTGTAAACTCTACATTTACTATGTTCCCCCCACCCCCGGTATGCATGAGTTCCTAAGATTTAATTTATAGAAAGTAAATTAGCAAAAATAAAATAATAAAATAGGACAATTACAATAATGAACAGTAATAAAAGTCAGATGAACGCAGTATATCTCTTTTTCTCCCTCCCAAAACATCTTTGTGCACTGCAGTCATCTTTTCCACGTAGGTATTTGCAGAGCAGACCACACCTAACTTCAATAACTAAAACCTTGGAAGCTAAATCACAGTAAGGAGGGGAGGGTCACTGTGCACACTTTCTACCATTGCTTACAGAACGTCCTTTACTCTGTGCTAAATATTTTATTAAATATTGCAGAGATGAGTGGAAAGAAGTAAAAGATTTAACATACTTCCTACCAAACAGCTTAAACTTTACTTCATTCTTTCCAAAAGATCTAAATAATTCATTATAAAAGCTTACTGTACTGCCAAACTAGAATTAGAATACAGAATATCACTAGGCCCACAAGGAACAGACTAAGAATGGAAAAAAATTCTTCTTTGGCAGGGTCTCCCTAGTCCCAGACTTGCGTGGAAGTCACTACGGGGATCAGACTGGTCTCATCTGCCTGCCTCTGCCTTCCCCAGGGCTGGGATTAAAGGTTGTGCACGATACCCAGGGTTAAGAATGGAAACTTTGAGAAACACAAAAGAGAACAATACAGGACGGACTTTGTTTTAATGAGTTTATATGTAAAATACCAACCCTTCATCATTCAGAGTATGTTGCTTCCTCTTCCTTAGAGTAAAAGCTGCCATCTTAACTGAATTCCTAAAAGAAAAAGATCAGTAATAATAAAGTCATCAAATGGATAAGAAAAAAAAAAAAATCTAAAAAGTTTTCACATAAATGACTGTACAGAAATACCCAAGAAAAAGAAAATGTCTTTTTGAGTAAGGGCCTCATGTAGCCTAGGCTGATCTCAAATTCAAGTTCAGCCACTGTGAAGCCAAGGATGAACCTGAAAATTTTGAGCCTCTTGCTTGCCCCTCCCCCTTCAGGTGCTGGGATTGCAGGCTGAGGCAGGAAGATTCTGAGTTTGAAGCCAGTGGGATCACAGGGTGGTGGGGGGGGGAGAGGGAGGGAG